ATGCCAAATTGGAAATGATGAATTGTTGAATTATTATCTGACAATTCTATTGTAGACATGTTTATCTTGTTATTATGAATTTTATAATATTTCATTTATTGAAAATTGAACTCCGATTATCTGGTTGATGAAATGTTGATTATTCGATTGGATTTGTAAGTTGTAATTTGTGACACAAATGTTTGAATTTTTTTTTTGGTACAGGAACACTTGTTAGGTATGAAACTTACATGAAGTAATTTTGGTTTGTGAATTTTTCTTGTCATATGGGAAATTTTTGATGAAAACTTGTTTAATTGGGGAAATTTGTGATTTACATTTAATGTTCAACGTCATTCTAGCATTTGTAATATTTATGGGACTCCCCCAATAATTAGAGACGTGGGACTCCCCAAATCTGATGAAGATCTAAAATACCCGACTGGCTTTAGAAACTAGCTTCAAATCACTTTGTAAACTGCAAAAAAGTCTGCAACAATCTACAACCTTAAAAACATCCAGAATTCATCAATTATTTCCCATTTCATCATCATAAATTCCCTAAAAGCACTCACCAATCCTCATATCATAAAAAAAATATCGCAAACAATTCATTCAATCAATATCTCTGATTTCATAGCAATTCACATAAAATCCAATAAATTTATGTCTGTCAATCAAAATGCCTTCAATCCACAATACAATATTTTTTTTTTATCAATGCATTTATTTTTATTTCCAACAAATTAATGAATGACTCAATGTACATTTAATAAATTGCGAAAAAAAAATCTCAGTTATAAATCCAAGCCCACAATTCCCATTCCAGTGAATTCACATATGCCAATTTAAAAGCAATTCATTAAATAAAAAAAAATATCTCCGGAAATTAACTTACTCACCCAATTATTTACCAAACAACAAGCAATTTTCTTTGATCGTGCTAAATAGAAACTTAAATTCTATCTAATGAAGAAACTAATTCTTCAAAATTAACATTAGCACGTAAGTCAAAGTCCCAGAAGGTTAACGATATGCCCGTCCATCTATGGCGCAATTTGAATTTAATTTATCCATTAATTCTCGAGAATATTATTGCTGTTATTATGTGGGCAAACGCTTTGAGGTAATTAAATATTTCGCCATCAATTATTTTGATGTTGTAAGCTGTAAAGATGCAGGGTTGGCAACGTTGGTAGATGAGGTGGTATGGGAGGTTATGTGGTTCATGGCTGTTGTGTGACGAGATCTTATTATATCCAAAATTTTATCCTATCCAAAATACTATCCTAGATCCTATCCTAGATTCTATCCTAGATCTTATCCTTGGTCCTATCCTATCCTAGATCCTATCCTACCGTAAACCCTATCCTATCCAAGATCCTATCCTAGATCCTTTCCTAGATCCTATCGAATCGAATCGAAATGGAAGCCGGCATAATTGTTGCGTGGTGCTGGACTCAAATCGAATCCTCTCCTAGTTTTTTCAACCTCCAAACCACATCCACAACATCCAACTCTGCTACAAAAAAGAATTAAATTCGACTTAACTGATGAGTATGTAGATAGACGAAAAAAAATCTTCAATTACAATGTTGTTTGTTATTTAAAAAAAACTTTAATTTCAACTAAATGTGAGCACATTAAATGACCCTTAATCATCCTCATTAATTTTTTCTCTTCGCCTCATCGTCTCACAAGCCTTTGTAGTCTTTTGCAAAAAAATAAGAAATAAATAAAGAAATATGAAAGAAACATTAAATTGAATAAATAGGCCTTTTTGCGTATATGGAGACATCGGAGACGAGAAGCAGAAATTTTTTTATTTTTATAAATCTGTCATATAATAAATTGCATTATCATGTCTGAATATTGTCTGTAATGATAAATCATCTCGGTTTTTTTTTATGATCAAGTGAATTTGTTTGTTTGGCTATTATGGTCACTTCAAAATCCCTGCCTTCGTGTATTGTACAAATTAACTGCATTTTATCTCTCATTCCACCTTCTTTTCTGATACTCTCGGTTTTTATTGTGATTCATGTATTTAATAGTTTATGTGGTATGATAATGGATGGGGGTATTCTATTATATCTTGTTGTAGAGATGGTTTTAACATATTTTGTGAAAAGAATTATGGATTGTGTTAGTCAATTTGTGGTGGATACTTGAAATGTGAAAAGACTGGGTTGGATAACTTTAGTTTGGAGTAAGTATAAGTTTAATCATCGGGGGTGTAACCAAAATTTGTCAGGGGGTAAGGGGGGTCCATTTTGGGGGAGGTTGGGGGGGCTCTAGAATTTTGTGACAAGGAAGTGGTGGGTTTAGGAAATTTGTGACATCCAATTTCACAAAAAGGAAATTACAATTTTTGGGAACTTTTGATTATACGTCACACTGTTGCCTGTGCATGTTGTCAGACGTACTGTTTCACAATTTTGGAAAAATCTAGCTACCCTGTTTTTTCGTTATAAGCTAGTAGCTTAGAAGAATAAAAAAGTGATTTTTTCGGATCACTAGTAGCTTAGTAACGAGTAGTAGCTTATAACGAAAAAACAGGGTACGCAATGAGTATATTTTGTGTGTCGCTTTTTGTAGGAATCGAACCAAATCCTTATTGATATTGATGTTCGCGATTTAGGTCTGATTCTCATTAATTAGACCAAAAACACACTCATCTGCTTTAATTTAAGTCCGGTAGACTAGTCTTTATATGGCTCGATGACCTGAATTCTATTTAGCTTCAAACTTATTATAGCAGTACCCCATGTCAGAGTGCTTATATCATACACACCGTAATTCTACTCGATACAATATAAGGAAACAAAAAGACAATATCTAATAACCTTAGTGGACATAACTCAAACAAACAATCTTCTAAATCTCCCAAAAAAAAAACATTCTACAATAATATTCAATTAAGTACTTCATCTCATCCACATCGGAAACTTCCATCCAAAATAGCCCATAAATTAAATTTTTCATCCACAATGGACGTTGATTTTCAAAGAGCGATTAAAATCTTCATTTAAAAAAGACTTCAAAAAATCTAATGCGCTTATGTCATTTACAAAGAACGTCATTTAATCATTCAAAAAAAGATTTCATGCCAGTTTTTCCTCATCATACAAAGTTGCTTCTTTTATTGTTGCCAAATAACAAGTCTTGTGTCTATCCACATGTCTGTCATACTTAATCAGATAGCTGTAAAGTCCGTTCAAATAGAATTAAAAAGGCTGGGCAGAGAAATGTGAGATTATTGTTGTACACATATCCAAATACTTTCTACTCTATTTGATGTGAAATGTGGCAGATGGATGAAATTGCAAATTTAATATTTTTTTGTTAATTTTATTTGTTATTTTTTTTTTTCGTAATGCGACTCAATTAAATAATGCAGTTGAGTAAAGCTTGTATTTTATTTTACACTGCTCATTTAACAAACAAAAAAAAATGTGCATTAAAAATTCTCATCTCGAGGCAAAAAAGCCATAAATTTTCATGCCGCATGTGATTGCAATTTTTTTTTTGTTCATTTATTTCTGTTGTTTTATTGTTGTTGCTGTTGCTACGTTAATGTATAAATGTGAAACATTAATTTGTTTGATTATTTATAATTCATAGCTTGTGAGCACAATGAGCGATTGCTTCCCTTCTCATTTGTCATTTTCATAAAACTGTATATATAGACTCCTTTGATGTTTAATAATAAACATACCAGGCAAACCTTCATGGACAGACGAAACTGAGGCTATGATGTAGAGTCGATGAATGTTAGAAATAATGTTTGAAAAGAAAATGCTTTTGTGGTTTGGCTGATTGTCAGGGGACATCAGGTTTTTGGAAGTACTCGTGTCTTTGAAATGTGCTGAGCTTGCAAGTGGTTCAGATTCCACTATAAACTTTAGGTCTAAAGGGTGTGGTACAATAGATTCTGTTCTAATTTGAATCGCAGTGCCTACAGCTCAAAAGGCTCTCTTTTGGCTGACTGCCTCCTAGCTATTGGGTGCTCGGGCATTTAAAACTACTCTATGGTTAAACCTTTCAGTCTCTGCAGCAGCTTTAGTTCCATAAAACCAACATTGTTCTTAACTGTTACTTGTAAACTTGTTAAGCAAGCCTTAAGAAAGTCAATTAATTTTTCTCAATAGCACATGTTATAGGAAGGTCTCTACATAGTAGCACCAAGTCGGTGGAAGAGTTTGGGCTAGTTTTAAGGCTCCACACAAGCCTAGTGCCAGTCTAATGTCAATTTGCGTGAATTTTTCTATTCCGTGTGTTATTTGACTAGTTGGATGATTTTCTTGACTGGTAGGAATCGAGCTCACACCATAAATGATGATATTACAGATTTCAAGACTGTTCCCTAGCCATTGGACTTCTCAGGACTTACTATCGCGTTGGCAGATTCACCTACATTTGAATCGATACATAAAATTCAATTCAGCTGCAAATGCGCTTCTTAAATCCATCAAAATCCACCCATCCCATCCATACCAGCAATAAAAAATGTTATTAAAATTAAATTGGCATAATTCCATTTCCTAAAAGCCATTTTCTATCTCACATTTTTTTGCATTTGAAATTTCTCACATTATTATGCATACACAACCCATAATAACCAAACCCGTGCTGTAGTGACTACTTCTGATGAATAATTTTTAATCCCAAACAGCGAAAATTTGTAGGTAGGGTGAAATTAATTTCTCTTCATCGTCTGTGTGCATGCATGTTATGCCTCAATGTGATTTAATTCCCCTCCAATAAAATGAAGCATCGTTATCTTAAATTATAAATCAACGTGTAGAATGAGAAGCAGAGCGAATATATGAAAATTGAGAAATAAACGTAAATTATACAGCATGAAGATGAAATGTGAAGAAATGTTTTAATTTATAAATCTTGATGCTTAACTCGAGACTTGCTCTTCTAACTTATTATTCTGGAAATTTGATATTTTTCATGGTTATGTTGCTGATTTTATCTAGGTATGAATATTTAAGGCACGTTTTATTGCTTTTTTGGTAATCAAATGTTTTATTAGATATAAAATTGAATAGTTTCAAAAGTTAATGTTCTTAAAGAAAACTGAATATAATTAGATAATATGTCTTAGTCTTCAGGAAGAAGGGGCTTTTGTATTGTAGTTTTATTTGGCTCACATGCAATGCACAGATTTAATTGACACTTCAAATGACTCCAGGTACAAAAATTCATAACAATTTGATCAAATTCTAACCTACAAAGCTACAAAAGTCCCTCCTGAGTACCTCTAAATTTCAAAATATGACACAACCTTTAATTTTACTTAATTATCACAAATCAGCTCCTTTAAGACGGTCGACAAGAGAATCGCCTGTTCTTTTCATCACACATGCTTAGTTTCAAGCTTTCATCCGAGGCTCTTAAGGCTCCTTCGATGACATCTTTAATTCCGATGTTTTCTTTAGCAGAACATTCAATAAAATTACTTGCTTTAATCTTTTTAGCTAATTGCTCGCCTTGAGCTGTGGTAATCACAGATTTAGAGTTTTCGGTGTTCTTTAAATCAATTTTTGTGGCTAATTAAAAGTGAAATTTATGATTAAACTTAAAAACATTAATGGTTCGGACAAGCTTAGTCCAAAGCACTGGATTTATCAGTGGTTGCATGAATAAATCCGAATATTGACTGCAATCTAATTGTTGGTTTGATAATCAGAATGTTCTTTTATTGATAAAGTTAATTAAAGGCTCCTTACGGATTTGTAATTAATAACAAGATGTTTATTGTTCGACAATTAGAAACATACTAAATATTTGTATGAAAGGGGTTAACAACTATTCAAGGGGAAATAAACTAATTAAAGTTGCATCCATAATTTGAATATGAAATGACCTTTAATATATTCTCAACACTAATGAACAAATCACAACTTACCAACCAATACAATAGGCACTAATGATCCCAGATCCTTTTGAATTTCATTTATCCAATAATGACTTATGTTTTCAAATGAATTTTTATCAACTACACTATAACATAGAATTAGTGCTGTTACATTATAGTAAGCGAATGATCTTAGTTTCTCGAAATCTTTCTGTCCCGGTGGAACTAGCAAACCAAATGAAAGAAAATTGCCATCTAGAATTGTTTCGAATATCTTGAAGTCAGTGCTGAAAAGGTAAATTAAGTTAATACCCGAATAACACTAGTCAATTAATCGATTAGAAAACTGGAACCAAGCCGGTATGACTCTGGAAGGATTTAAATCGAAGGCTTAACGCCAGATTTCTATTCGATTAACCGACTTGTGATAATTAGGGTATATGACCATACTAAGTGCTAGTCGCTGAACATGAGTTTCAAAGTAATGTCAAAATTCGAGTCTTATTCAATACTTACTCTCCTTTCTGTGTATTCTCAAAAGATCCAGACGAATATCGATGATAAAGGCTAGACTTGCCAGTAGACCCCGACCCAACTATCACAATTTTATGAACATCCATAACAGATTTACTGCTTAAAAGTGTGAATGTTATTGTTATAGTGCCTTGAATTTCAAAATTTCACGAAATAAGAAGCAGCAACTAGCTTTAAAAAAAATCAGCAGCTTGTTCAAACGATGCAAATATACTGTCAGATGTGCTACATTTTATTTAATTTCTTATTTAACGACACTTATCTCATTCGAATGTGTCATCAGCATACAGAAAAAAAAATTCACTATAAAATTGCTTACAACGTTGAATCATTATTTTTTCATTGAGATAATTTACACATTTGGGAATTCACATGTCTATGGTGTCAAGTTTTTTTTTTTTGGTATTTTGAGAATGAGATGGAACAAGATGGTGGATGATAAGTTTGTCATGAAAAGTCTCGTTTTGGTGACTGAAAAATGAGCATGTTGTCCACATCAGACGCCTTTTCACTAGCTACACTCGTCGGATGCAGCATGAACGCAAGATAAACGTTGTTCCTTGAATATTTACAAAACCACCCGCAACATTATCGCATCAAATCTACAAACTACACTTTCAAAATTTATCCTTGACATATTTTGCATCAATAATGTTTCATATCCCACCCAGAAAAAATCGGACTCACCCAAATTCTAGCTATCCCCATTTTAATCTCTCGCTGCTTTTTATTCCATTTATTTTTTTTATTCATAGTGATTGCGCGCATTTTTCTTCTTGTCTTCATCCATCTAGTGTGACTAGCATGATGTACATGAATAGCACATAGCATAGGAGATTACTATGTTGGAGAAAAAAAAATATAAAATACTTCAAACGAACAAGTCGAGAGATTGTCAGATAACAGCATGAGCATGAGGATGAAGACTGAAAAGAGATATTGTTTTTTCGGTGAATGGCAGAAGAAGTAAAACTAAACACATTGTATGAAGTGCATGTTTCATCTATCTTTTCAATCTTTTAGATTTTTCTTCTTCCTTTCTCGCTTGCTCGCTATGTGTGTTATTCATCTTTATGTTTATAGCATGTCTTTAGCGGGGATTTTGAGATTTTAGGAGATATGGCATTGCATTTGATTGCATTTTGGGTAATTAGAGGTGAATTATTGATGAAAATGGATTAATTATTATTAAAAATATTAGTTATGTCTGGATCCTTAAAAGATTAGGTCATAAAAAAATTGGAATATACTTAGCTCGAGTATAGACACCGACACTCTTTAAATTTGGTGTCATCTTGTGTAGGTTTATGTTGATTAGTTCTAGAGACCTCTTTCCAGCTTCAGAGACTGCTTTACAGCCATAGAGACTTTATTTCTCACTCCCAGAAACCTCTTTGCAGACTTAAAGACCCTCAACAGTCGTAGAGACTGCTTTACAGCCTTAGAGACTTTAAATCTCAATCTCAGAGAACTCTTTCCAGACCAAGAGACCCACCACTGTCGTAGAGATAGCTCTACAGCCCTAGAGACTTTTTTACTCACTCCCAGAAACATCTTTGCAGACTTAAAGACCCTCAAGAGTCGTAGAGACTGCTCTACAGCCCTAGAGACTCCTCTTCTTACTCTCAGAGACTCCTTTTTAGACTTGAAGACCTATTCTTAGCCTCAGAAACCCAGCACAGCCATAAGGATCCATCCTTTGACATAAAAAAACCCTACTCTAGCTCAAAGGTCCCGCCTACAGCCGTAGAGACCCATCCATAGCCCCAGAAAACCCCCCACAGCGCTAGATACCTCTTCACAGCCGTATAACCTACTTATCTTACTCCTAGAGAACCTTCTCCTGAGTTAAAGACTTCTCTACAGCCTCAGAGACGCTTTACAGCTCAAAAATGTCACAAAATGCGCTCAACTTCCCTTCATCTTCCACAATCCAATCTATCGTCGTTTAAAATTCATTCAGCAACTTAAAAACATGCGATTTATTTGATGTTAGTCAGATACAATTCCCCTCATTTATTTCTTCATTCTTTTGAGCGGAATTTAATTGTTAATTAATTCAAAAGAAAGAGAAAAAAAGGAACGAGAAGAAGAAAAAAACATTTATGTTGAAATGCTTGTTGAGTGAGCTTGTAACTCTTTTTTTATAGTTTCCATATTCATACAAAACAAAATATTAGTGACTGTGAAATGATATAATTTTGTTTTAATGATGATGAAGGTTTGAAAAGAGAGAGAATTTATGAATATGGGAATATATTTATTTTTTTGTTATTGCTGTGCATGCCTGAAAAAATATTATATTTTATTCATTTAGGCAAAAAAAGTCGCTCTTTTATCTATGAAAATTATAATTTTTTTTTGTTAATAAATTATGAGATTCATTACAGTTTTAAAACACATTAAATAATTTTTTTAATTAAAAATTTTGTGCTGAATAATTTTATTTTTTGAGGAATTAAATATGAGTGTGGAAAATATTTTTTTATTATAATTTTATGTGGATGTGATGCTTATTAACAAACTTGTTATGTATGTTTGGAATTTAATTTTACATAATTGCGAGATAATAATTCGTGGAAGTTTGTGAATCAGATTTTATGGTGGAAAATTTATAAGCATAGCTTTATATGGGGGAATTATTGGTGGATGTTCTGCTCAGTGCTACTCTTTGTTTAGTCACACACTACTAGAGTAGCACAACATAATCGATTCTAGTTGAATGAAGAAAGTCAAAGTGACTAGATGATGCCCTGACAGCTGCTATAGACCCAATCTGACAGTCAAGAATGAGATTAACTCCAGTATGTCGTTCAATCTAGGGTCTCTAAGTGTTCATAGCTTGATTTTGATATTAAAAGAACTATAGTCTGGATAGTTAAACAGAAAAACTATGTTTTTTGGAGTTTTTCAACAACAAGTGTTGAATGAGAATTGAACCAACATTCTTACATTTTCAAACACATGTTTCAACCACTGAGCTGTCTCAGAACTTAGCAGAATGTTAATTTTAAGCAATTAATGTGCTTTGAATCATGTCTTTAGTGTTATTGTTGATGTAGTTCTAACTGAGAACCTGATTTACATTTTTTCATAGCTCATCAGTTCACAAATCATGTCATAATCCAGCCTTACATGAAAACCTCCAACAAAATACCGAATTTTGCATTAAAACCAATCACAATTTCCCTTCAACCATCAAAATAATTAAATTCATTCAATCCATAACACAATTACAGTTACAACCCATATAATCCATAAATTTCCATCAATAGTCGAAACAATTAGTCAAACTGCCATTAAAATGCGGGCAACAAAACGTTAAAAAATCATCACCATTCGAATGAATTATTTTTTTTCACATTCCATTCATAATTGTGTGGTGCTTTATGAGTTCCATTGGCTTTTTGTTTTATTTCCACAAGCAGAAATTGATTCAATTGAAATGAAAAAAAGTTATTAATTAATGTTCATACCTACATGCTCGTATTCAATAATTAATAAATTGCATCTACTTTTTTTGCAGTCGTTGCAATTGAAATTAATTAAAAGTTTGTTGTGAAGTTTCGATTGAGTTTGTTTGGAAAGTGTCGGAAAATTAATTTTTTATTGGAATCGATTGAGGGCATTTAAAGGTGGGAATTGCGTTGATTTTTTAAGTAAGTTTATGGAGAGTTTAGGTTTTGGAGGGAATCGAACTTATGATTTCACATTAAGATGAGGGCAAACCTCTGGTTTACATACTATTCCAATCCAATCCATAAAACCTGATACGAACAATTCAAGAGTTTCGACCGTTACAGTTTCCAAGTAAACTTGTGAAAATGTCTTATTTGTCTGTCTGCCATACAAAATTCGAAGTTTCATACCCTGCAGTTCGAAATTTTCGAAAATTAGAAATAAATAAAAACTTAAATTAAACAAGTTTTATATGAAATATAGATGAAAATATTATGTAGTCATTTCATGATAAGCATAATAAAGCTAAATCTTTTTTAAAACGATCAAAACCTCTAATAAAATCACTAAAATTGTAACGGTTTCTTTCAAATTTAAACTTTTCGAACGTGCATATTATAACTCCCCTAGACTTTCGATAAGTCTGTCGAACATGAATTGTTCGTATCAGCATAAAACCCGATCGGCACACATTATGCCACCCGATAGCCGGGTTGATAGTATAATTAGAACCTAGATGCAGCCAATTGGCAATGGCAGTCACATGAAAACCACTTTAAGTTCAGTTGGAAATAGCGTTCAAAGTGACTGCCACTTAGTTATAATCATACTATCAACCCGGCTGCTGGGAGGTCACCATTTCAATGTGTGCCGATCGGGAAATCCTCCAGAGAACCCAACATCCAACAAATTAGCTCTAATAAATCTCATAAACATAAACATGTTCATAATCTACTTGATATGTTAAACATTTCACATTCATGCTCATCTTTTTCAGCTACTGTACATGTATCTTCTTTCCCCTCCTGCCTTCTTTTATCCATTTTATTACATTTTGTTTTACATTTTCGCATCATCATATTCCATTCCATGTGTCGCATGATGATTCAATTTTTACGTCAATATGATTCTAAAAGGCACTCACGGGAATGTGAATTTGAGCACGAAACTGACACATTTTAAAAGAAATTTATTATGCAAAAAACTGTATGTATATACAGGGCAAATGGGATAGATACGGATAGAAAATAAAAACTGCCGTTCGCCACATCCACTTCACGCTTTATAAATAATTCATTAAACATGCAAATATGTTTATAATAATAAAAATTCAGTTGTTGTTGTTGTATAATTTTTAAGCCATCCCCGAATCCATCCATTCAATATTCGATTAATCATACAATTTTTCTCGGTTGTTTCATTAGTAATTCCCTCGCGTCCAATTTTTCAAGCTTCCATACGATACAGAAACGGGGCGAAATTAGATTTTTTTTTTGAAATGCCGAAAATAAATGAGCTTGAGTCGTGTCATTCGCTACGATATTTTCAATCAATTTAATTCAACCGTCATTTCGCTTTGCTTTGCCTTTTTCTTTTCAAAAATTCTCTGCTTATTTTTCGTCTTCGATTTTCATTCTGCTTAATTTTTCTCTTTTTTCTGAATCATCGTAACTTACACACGGTGATTATTCTTCTTTTTTACTACAAGTGAATTTCGTTTTGCGATTTTGCTGGGATATGTGTAGAAATTGGTGCAGTTTGGGTGTCATTTGTCTTGCTGTTGTTGAAGATAGGTCCCTTTCTCATCCCTAGGTGGACCTTATTGTAATGATTAATATTGAATAGATCTTTGATTAAGTTAAGCATTGGTTTGCTTGAGGACAACATGTCTCATCATCGTAGCTAAGATTAATAGAGAATTTTAGATCTGATTCATAGGTACAGGCAATGACATGTCATTGCCACGTTTTAACGATACATTTCGCATTTTAAACCTATGTAAAGTTGGTTTCTCGCTGTGCCATCTCAGTGATATCATTCCAAACCAGTCTCGTAGCGAGCCTTAGACTTTAAAGCCCTCAAGTGTATCCTCCAGCTCGACAATCCATCCTACAGGGGTTACCGACAATTCCCCACTGTAATTTCGCCACTTTACATTTGGCCACTGACATTTCACCACCACTACATTTTGCCACCTGTACATTTTGCCACTATTTATTTGCCCACTTTTTATTTGCCCACCTGTTTTTTTCGCCACTGCTTTTTTTGCCACTAATCATATGGCCACAAGTTTATTTGCCCACTGATTTATTTGCCCACTAAAGCAAATGATAAAATAAAAAATTGTAAAAAATATTGAAAAAATTTTGTTAAAAAAACATGAAATTTTTAAAATTATTTTTTGGAGCATTTATGGAATAATTGGCCATATTTGGGTGTTCTGAAAAAATCATGCGACCGTACGTAAATGTGCTTGAAGGTGTAACGATATATTGAGATTTGAATAATCTCTCTTCTCTGGCTTGGACTTATCATCACTTATCCACTCTTGCTTCCTTCATTTATTTTATTCTATTTTTCCTTACTAGTTTTTATTAATTTTAATGTTTAAAAAGCTTTAAAGGTTTAATTAACTCTCAATTTACTATTTCATCATTCTATGAGATAATTTGAATAGAAATTAAACGTGACGTAAGGATGCTGCGTTATAAGTCCAGAGATTATAAGTCCAGGTACAAAAATCGTGCACAGAAAATTATAAGTCCAGAAAATCAAAGTCAATAAAGGTTTATAAGTCCAGATACAAATTGCACCTGGACTTAAAAACCTCACCTGCAGTTTATAATTCCAGGTACAGATACTGCTGGAATTATAAACTGCACGAGAGGTTTTTAAGTCCAGGTACATTTTATATCTGGACTTATAAACCTCACGTGTGGTTTATAATTCCAGAAAATTTACAAATTTTACTTATCCCATACATTTTTCTGGACTTATAATCTTTGAAAATTATTTGATATAATTTCAAATTTTTATATTCATACCGTATTCACGTGTGAATCAATTGGTTTTGTTCAGATTGAAAAATCAGTTTTTTGCATTCTGTGAGAAAACAAAGCAAAGAGGATTTTGTTTCCCCTTTTTATTCTTGTATTATTTATATTTTAAAAGTTAACATCCAGAGCGAAAAATGTGATTTTTATAAATTTTTACACGCTACTGTACCTTGTTTTCTATTCAATCTTTTTGTAAAAGGTAAAATCATAGTCAAAACCAGCAGAATTTACGAAAAATTACATTAACTGTAAGGACAGCTAAGCACTTGTCTAAGCTATAAACACCATCTATATTTACTACTGTTTTTACTTATACACATTAAACTACAGCTGTAAATTGATTTTTACGTAACGACGTAAGTTCATCTGTAATCTACAGCTGTAATTTTAGTACAGCTGTAATTTGATGCTAAATAGTATAAGGTAAAGATTACTATCAAAAAAGTGCGCAAATTTCAAAATATTTTTGCGCAAATTTCAAAATGAAAACTTAAATGTCAATTTTCTCTGAATTGATGCAGCGCAAAAACCTTTACATGATCAAAAATAAAAATATCGACGACTCTTAACATTTCAAGACCATTAGTAGGTCACAATGTCAATTCGTCGATTAGTTACAAGCGTTTGAAAATTCCAAGTCTCAAAACACGCAAATTTTAATTTACCCTATATGGTACTTTAGAGGAAAAAAAATCAGAGAAATGTGAATTCTTTTTGTGAAGTTTTCAAAAATTCATGTGAAGAATTACTTTAAATGAAAAAATTTAAAATAATATCAAATAATTTTCAAGGATTATAAGTCCAGAAAAATGTATCTTGATTTATAATCGAACTGGGAGGTTATAAGTAAAATTTTTAAATTTTCTGGCATTATAAACTGCAGGTGAGGTTTTTAAGTCCAGGTGCAATTTGTATCTGGACTTAAAAACCTTTATTGACTTTGATTTTCTGGACTTATAATTTTCTGTGCACGATTTTTGTACCTGGACTTATAATCTCTGGACTTATAACGCAGCATCCTTACGTCACGTTTAATTTCTATTCAAATTATCTCATAGAATGATGAAATAGTAAATTGAGAGTTAATTAAACCTTTAAAGCTTTTTAAACATTAAAATTAATAAAAACTAGTAAGGAAAAATAGAATAAAATAAATGAAGGAAGCAAGAGTGGATAAGTGATGATAAGTCCAAGCCAGAGAAGAGAGATTATTCAAATCTCAATATATCGTTACACCTTCAAGCACATTTACGTACGGTCGCATGATTTTTTCAGAACACCCAAATATGGCCAATTATTCCATAAATGCTCCAAAAAATAATTTTAAAAATTTCATGTTTTTTTAACAAAATTTTTTCAATATTTTTTACAATTTTTTATTTTATCATTTGCTTTAGTGGGCAAATAAATCAGTGGGCAAATAAACTTGTGGCCATATGATTAGTGGCAAAAAAAGCAGTGGCGAAAAAAACAGGTGGGCAAATAAATAGTGACCAAATAAAAGGTGGCGAAAAAAGCAGTGGCGAAAAAAACAGGTGGGCAAATAAATAGTGGGCAAATAAATAGTGGCAAAATGTACAGGTGGCAAAATGTAGTGGTGGTGAAATGTCAGTGGCCAAATGTAAAGTGGCGAAATTACAGTGGGGAATTGTCCTACACTCATCCTACAGCAGTAATTAAGTTCTAATTCTAAGATAACTGTCATTCTGTGTAAAATCCAATGTCATCACAATATTGATGTTAATATATTCCAGTGATGGCCAACCCATATTCCAACCAGAAAAAAATTCAGAAAGTCTCACGAACAGCATGTCGTGTGCAGTTTTGGTCAAAGCTTCATTAAAGTGTACCGTGGCACAAAAAACGTTGACCACCACTGCTATATTAATATAAGTTTAATAAACATTCAACTCATTGATTACAAAATAACATTTCTAGTTCAGTAACAACTATAATTTGAACTTATAAGGTCAGCTGCGGAAATACATCTCAAACTAAGTGTATGCACAATCAACACTTAAAACTACATGCACAAAATTCTAGAATATACAATCTATTGCTGATAATGAAAGTTATAATTTAGTAGTTTGTGCCTAAGCATTTAAGAAAGTTGTAAGTTTGAATTAATTTTTTTTAAAAAATTGAAGATTATGAATCCAGAGACAAAGACAACGTTAGGTGTCGTTTTTATCATTTTAGCTGTTTTGGCGTTTATGGCAACGATAGTTACACGTAATTATTTAAATAATTTGTTAAGATTGAGAAGTAATTTTATTTATGAGAAGTCACTGAATGACACGTGGCATAAAACAGTGGCTCTAGGCTGTAAGAGGCTTTAGAGGAGCTTGATTCTGGAAAACCAGCTCCATACCAGCCTAATTCCACTCTTTTTTACATTTTCTAAGCTAGTAATGTCCAACCTGTGTGCCGCGGCACACTAGTGAGCGTTTTGGGATTTCCCACAAACTGAATAATGTATTCAGTTTTTTCTTATGTCTCACTACCAAATGTGTAGTGGCACAAAAAAGGTGTTCTTAGATGTTCTAAGACAAATTCCATTCAGGGCATCAATCATTAATATTTAACCTCTTTTTGTTATAGTTAGCAGCAGAAAAGCTAGACAATTTTTTAGCAATGAAGTAACATACGAGGCTCAACTTGGATTACCACCAGATGAGACAGATAAATTTCCTGAATTATTTGATGATCAAAATGAACATGTGCAGCAAGAAGCAGAGCGAATTCTGAAGGAACTAAGAGCTTTAGAAAAAATAAAGAATCAATAATTTTTAATGATGCATTAAATGATAATTTGGATGTAATACAGTCAAGAGAGTCCTCACAACTTCTTGAAAGAAGTTCCAAAATTTATTTGCATAAGAATTTCAAACTTATCTGACTGACTTATGACGTCCAGGGGGGGGGGGGGGGGGGGGTCAGCAAGAAAAGAACAATAGAAATTCCAAGAAATCCATTATTCCTTTTTGAAAATTGACTGTTAATTTTGGACGTCATAAGCGAACGACCCCATTATACAGCAGCATAAGATGGTTAATAGTGTTAATTAGCATCTAAATCGCTCTTACTAGCAATAATTTAATAAAATTCAAGTTTTTATTTTAGTCATCGATTCAAGCAACGTGTCATATCTGATGTCTTTGATTAATTACAGAAGCATAGTTAAAAATGAGTTTTAGGAAGTTGGGAATTTTGATTCAGATCGCTATTAAAATAGCGCTAGACATGCCCTTAATTAACTATAAAGAAGCCTTAAATGCACCCCATACCCTAACCTACTCCCATGCCAATTTAACTCAACTCAAAAAAAACATTTTTCAATTCATTCAAAAAGTACAAGCTCGTGTACGAAAATATCACAAAAAAATAACAAGAAGATGTCATGTAGCTACAATAACGCGACCTATAGCAACATGATTCATCATCATTCGTCATGTAATCGTCACAAATAAATGAAAGAGCACATTAAAAATATTTTATTCATTATATTGATTAAAAACTTTTTTTTCCCCGAGACTATTCAAACTACCTATTCATCTCTAAATGGCAGTAAATCATAAAAAATAGTTCGAATCATTTTTATTGCATGCTGATTGGAAGTTTCTTTTTATTTTTATTACTTTTTTTTTGTTGAATTATTTTTCATTCTTCATTGTTTTCATGACATAGACAGACAGCAGTGGATATAGTCGAAGAAGAATGAAAGTTTACGTAATCTAAGACAATAAAAAAAATAATGCTGAATACATCAAGCGAGAGAGAAGAGAAAAAAAGTTATTATTCTGCCATAAAGTTCCTCTATCGAAAGTTTTAGCTTTTTTTTGAATTTTATATTTTTTTTCAGTTCCTATTCAGACACTCGAGGAAATTTTTATTGATGGATATTCTTTTTATGATGAAAATATTAAGGAAAATTACTGCCATTTTCATTGTGTAATTTTTATAGCTTTATATCTATCTACAAAGTTAATTTTATAAAGGACATAGTCGAGAACTATCGAATAAAATTATCTGTAATAAAATTTACTTTTTATTAATTTTTTGCTAGGGGCCGTTCACTTATGATGGTCAGGGGCGGGGGTCAGCAAGAAAAGAACAATAAAAATTCCTGGAAATCCATTGTTTTTTTTTTTTGAAATTGGCTGTTAATTTTGGACGTCATAAGTGAACGACCCCTAATGCTAATTAGGGACAAGCCTTGGATGGAGGTAATAAATTGGTTTTTTTGGGGGATGGAGAAGATGTGGCAAGATGATTCATAAGAGAGGAGCTGTTTGAGATTTTGAGCACATCAACCTTTACTTGAGAATGTGGTAGGAATCAAACCAACAGACGACATAGTAATCTGATCCATCTGAGGCATGACATTGCCATAGACAGTATTATATTAATTTTGAAGCATTTGCTTAAATCACTTCTTAAGGATGACGCATCATTGACATAAGAAGAAACTTTAACAACAAACTAGTTCACTAAGTGCCAAAAGCTTCTGATTCTCATCTTCACATCTCATAAATTTCAATTTATTACAGTTTTGTTAATAAATCATCACCATATTAAATTACATCCAACCTTGAATTGATCATTATCAATTAAAATACTAAGTTATAAGCTGCACGATGCATATTCAGTAGCGTTTAATATATCAAGTCATGAGTAATGATATTACATAAGATATAATAATTTTAATGAGTTTGTTCTTTTTGTTGGGGTCAAGATGCAGATGTGGTGAGTAATTGGTTTGGCTTTAATGAGCTAGTTGAGGAGAAATCTGAATCTGATACAGCTCTGAAAATGTAGAAATCGTAAAAGAGTTGTTTAATAGCCAACTTACAAGACAAGGACTTAATTTGTCTTAGTTTTTGAACCTTAAAACCAGGAACTATTCCTTGTACACCCTATCGGATAGTCAATGCACTCCAGTCATGCTGAAAACTTTATGATCCCCAATATTTTAGTATACAGTACATCAAGAAATGTCTCTGCCTCAGATCCAACTTAATAATAATCATCAGAGGTCGACAACATTACGGTTTCATTAAATTCTCTCACAATTGACATTAAAACTTTTTTCATTTCATTCAATTCCGTTCATTTTTCCTCAAAACTAATGATAAGTTCTAAATAATAATTTCCTGCATTGTCTTACCTCATTCAAAACTGAAAGAAAAGAAAAGAAAAAATTAATTTCTTTTCGTTATAAAAAAATCACAAAAGAATGAAAAGCATAGAAAATTTGTGAAATGAAATGAGAAAAACCATGCAAAGGAGATAATAATAATAAGTTTTCTTTTCATTCCCGTTCCACATGTACATGAGGAAAACAACGCAAAAAAAATTATATCCACAAATTTTTTTGTCTTACCGAAAAAATAAGCAGAATAGCAAGAATTGTCTGAATTGTATTCACTGAATTGTCTACATAGCATCAAAAAAAAAAACTTTTCAGTACAAAAGAAGAAAAGAATATAAAAATGGCAAAAGCCCTCGAGGAGGAATAATCAGGAACAAAAGAATCATCATCAAATAAAGTGAACAATAGACGTGTCGAGCAGCACAAAAAATATATAAAGATAAAAAATCTCAAAGCATGCAGCAAGCATGATGATGATGATCCATTTTTTTGTGTTGTATGTGCGCCTTTGGAGTCTACGATGTATACATAATAAGAGGTGGTGTGAATGAGTTGCTGAGGTTTCATTTTTAAGGGATTTGAACGCAGTTTTCGTTGAATAGTAATTAGAAAATTCAAAATGGCGAATATTGTCACCTCGAAAAGTTTTCGTCCATTTTAGCTCGATAGATAAGCTTCCAGGAAATTAAAACTTAAGCAATCCCTTTGAAAAAGTGGTAGAAATAAGAATAAATCAGCATTGTTTTGCAAAACTTCAAAGTTCTTAGCGAAATTCTCGTTTTAGTTGAAATGATAAACAAAATGGTAGATTAACTCACTTCCAAATGTTTTTAAGCCGTAGAAACTGTATAATAAAAAATGTAATGGCCAAGAAATCGCCAAATCATTCAAAAAAGTGGCAAAACTTAGGCCACATCCACAAATTCGATAAATATTTCAAGAATTTTTATTTAAATAAGTTTTTTTTTTAATATTATTAGATTCAAAATGGCTTCCTTTCAAAAACCCCATTAAGTACTCCTTAAGAAACATAATTCCTTCAATGCCTCACCCAAACCGACTTCCATCAATTCACAATCAACAAAAAACCTTCAAATCCCTTGCTAAAAGGAAAAGCAACGATGAAAGAACAATAAGACATTAGTTAATGTGTGCACCGCAGTAAGAGACAGCAAAAAAGGGAGACAATAATTTGAATCCTAGGCAAGAAGCAATTATAAGACGGCGAATAATATTCTCGGAAACAAAAGAGACAGAATAAAAATGAGACCCGCATTTAATGGGCACATCCACAACATAAATCGTGCCTTTAATTGTTATAACTTTAGACTTTTATCGTGACAAAGAGATTCAAGTTATACAATGTTAAGGGGTCGCTTAGTAGGTAGAAAGATCTTGTCGTAATGTTTATTGTTTGTCATTTATCTGCTGTTTTAATTGTACAATTAAAATAAATATATCGGTGAACTCTTTCAACATTCATTAGCTTGATTAAGATATTGAGTCATATTCTTTGCGTCAGCGATTTCGTAATAGGAAATTATCTTAGTTTCATAACTTATGGGAAATGGTTGAATAATAATTATGGATCAGTAGGTCAAAATGAATTAATATAAGTGGAATATTTATGAAGATTTTTATTGTAGGCATTGTGGGAAGTGTGGGTATTGATGTGATGTGTGATTAAGTTGAGTATCTGCTCTTGTTAAGTGTCTAGACTGGTTTTAAGATAAAGAAACTTGAGAATTTACCTGATAAATAAAGGTTTGGGAATATATAGAGACCGGATGTCTAGTTTGTATGATTTTAAGCATCATATCACTTGATCTTGGCTAGAGGCTAACTTTGTATAAACGCTGTTGAGCTACAGCACACCAAAGTACCTCCTTACATATGAACCTCACATACATAAATACATTGCTGGCTTTACAAATCAATTGTGATCCATAGCTTCCCTTGGTTTGCCTGAAAAAGGTTCTGTCGCTGGCTACTCTTTGCCAATCGTCAATACCAAATGCTACGCTGTCTTGTGAACCTTAGGACACCCTAATCCACCCCAACGAAGCACTCAGAACCTTAATGCAACTACAATTGAATCATAAAAGATCAAATTGCACTATCAAGACTCGAACCAAGGATAGCAGAGTCATCGTAGCAATTTTCAGGCACCAAACTGTTAATCAACTGTGCCACTAAGACATTTCAGCTCACAAATAGAAAATGACACTTCAGACAAGCCTTAATCCAGTTCAATCAACTCAAACGCAGCTAATTGAGGTTGAAAATGCAGAATTTAAATTACTGCGTAAATTCTAGTTTGAAAATTCCACCCAAGTTAATAGTCAAGCAATTCAATCGAATACCTAAAATAAAGGCATACCTTAGCATTTAAATTCTAGTCCTTAGACATTCTTTGAAGAAAAAAATAATCAACAGCGAGACGACAAAACAAAAATCGAAAAATACTTAAAAGAAAAAAAAAAGTTGTTTGCATTTTTCATGAAACTTTAGCCAAACGACGATGAAGCAAGCAAAAGAAATGGCAAAGTAAACAGCGCTATCAAGAAATTTCTTTCATTTTCTACCTTCTCGCTTATTTTTTTTTTTTTTCTTATGCCTGTCTCTATTACGCTC